AAATCTGGTTGTTCTATTCATCAGGCTTCCTGCTTCCTCTTGTGTATATACTTACACCACCCTAGTGTTGTATTAAGTGGGTCTTACTTGTATATTTTTGTCTTTTATTTATTTATTTATTTTACTTTTTTGGGGGAAGTTTTTTAAAATCTTTTATTTAGTTATTTATTTTATGTGCATTAGTGTTTTGCCTACATGTATGTCAGTGTGAGGGTGTTGGATCCCCTGGAACTGGAGTTACAGATGGTTATAAGCTGCCATGTGGGTGCTGGGACTTGAACCCAGATCTTCTGGAAGAGCAGCTAGTGCTCTGAACTTCCAGGCCATCTTTCCAGCTCCTGGTTGCTTATTTTAATTGGAGTCAGTTTTAACTCTGTTCCTGGTTTTACAGTTCATTATATCTGAACAATTGGCTGCTGTTCTCCATTGACTAGAAGTTTTCCATTGATTATAGGTTTACAGCCTAGATTTCCTTGGCCTGTAGAGTTTTTGTTTTGTTTTGTTTTTTTCCTTTTTTGGCTTTTTGAGACAGGGTTTCTCTGTGTAGCCCTGGTTGTCCTGGAACACATTCTGTAGACCAGGCTGGCCTTCAACTCAGAGATCCACCTGCCTCTGTCTACTTAGTGCTGGGATTAAAGGTATGCTCCACCATCTCCAGCTGGTCTGTACTTCTTTACATGCTTGAGTTCAGTGAGCACAGTAAAGGATTATGTGTATTTGTTGCAGACATTCTTTTAGATAATTTGTAGCTGCTTATTTCCAGAAAGAAAACAGAAAGTTGATAGATGATTTAGGATATTCTCTAAATTCTCTGTTGTATTGTAAATTAGAAGTTGATATAGAAATATTGGTAGTCATGGTTGATAAAGATTTCAAACCTAAATTGTGATTTTCACTGAAAAGAATATGTTAAGTAATTTTGAAGAGTAAAGTCTTAATATTTTTCCCTTTTAGCTTCCAATAAAAACAGGACAGCAAAACACACATACCAAAGTCAGCACTGAGCATAACAAGGAATGTCTGATCAACATTTCCAAATACAAGTTTTCTTTGGTCATAAGTGGCCTCACTACCATCTTAAAGAATGTTAACAATATGGTGAGTATTTGAGTTACTGGATTTTTGCTTTTTGGATAATTTGCTATATTTTGGTTCTGATTTGGAAGTTTAGAGCAGCATGTTTTAAAGTATGGGAATATTTTCTTAGGATTTAAGATGTGAGTCATTTCATTTTATGATAAGCACAAGTGTAACTTTGAAATTATGACTTTTAATCTTTCCCTTTGAAGCTTCTCTTATTACTCTATTTCATTTTCAGGAATTAGACTTTTATATGACTTTTGTATTATATGTAGACTGACCATCATATGGATTCCTTCCCCCCACTCCTCTTTTCTTGTTCCCTAATCTATACCTCCAGCTGTGTGGTATAGAATCTGTTTTATTTGCTTTTCATTAGCTGCTTCCTTGAATGACTGTCCATGTCCAAATTATGTGGTATATAAACTGGGATCTTCACTCCTAAATTGTGGGATTAAGTTTTATGACCACATTAATGAGTTTCCTTTCCTCTTGCCATAACCTGTAACAGATTCGATAGTAGTTAGAGAACAGGTGTTAGAACAGCTGTCCTCAGTTTCTCAGATGTTAACTGATTTCATCAGTGATTCATTCCACTGTTGAAAGTTCACAGTCCTCCTTCCTTCCCATCCCCCACCCCATAACTGGAGCACACTCCCCTGCTCTGCCTCTGCTTCTAGCATTAGCATCTCTTACTCTCTCAGGGACCTCCCTTCCTCTAACAATTTCTGATAATCTACTTCATACTCATCCAAACAACAGATGTGGGGTTTTAAACTCCAATTCTCTACACGTGTAATCTTGGTTTGTGTTGTTTGTGCTGGGCTGTGAAACAACCTCTGGTTGTGATTTTGAGGATTAGCCTCATTGTCTTATAGTCACACCATCCTTGGAGAATTTCCTCCTAAGAAAGTTGTTAGTATCAGAGTTACAGAACTGATGAATCAGAGGTATGAGCAGTCCAATAGATTTTTTTGTTGTTTTTAAAATAAATTTTCCAGCCGGGTGTCAGTGACACACATCTTTAATCCCAGCACTTGGGAGGCAGAGCCAGGCAGATCTCTGTGAGTTCGAGGCCAGCCTGGTCTACAGAGTGAGTTCCAGGACAGGCACCAAAACTACACGGAGAAACTCTGTCTCAAAAAACCGGAAAAAAAAAGAAAGAAAAAAAATTTCCCCCTAAAAACATAGGACCTTTTATAAAAAGGTAAAGTTACTTACATGATGCATTTAATATTTTGCTGTAGCTCTTTTTGCCCACTGTGGAACACAGTAATAGAATTTTATGTATGATATATGACTACATTCCCAGTTATACTGCAGTATTTTTATATTGGGGATCATCTTTAAAACTATTGTGATGTTGGCATTCACTTAGAACTCACTGAAAAGTTAAAGGGCCTCTGAGATGGCTCATACATTGATTGAAGGTAGAACCAACTCCCAAAAGTTGTCTGTCCTCTGACCTCCATGTAGGCACCATGATGAGCCCACACTCACACTAAGACATGCATCAAACACATACAATAAAAATAAAACAAAAATAGAAAGTTATTTATTTATTTTTTTAGATACTGGGGTTCTCTGTGTAGTCCTGGCTGTATTAGGACTTGCTCTGTAGACCAGGCTGGCCTCAAACTCACAGAGTTCCTGCCTGCCTCTGCCTCCCAAATGCTGGGGTTGATGGTGTGTGACACCACCACCCGACAAAAATAGAAAAATTTAAAAGAAAAATTATACTATGAAAACAATAGTCTCTTGTTAGTAAGTAGATAGATGATATAGAGTTCAGTTTGAAAGTAACGAATGCTTAAGAGTCACTGTTAGTGATGTAGTAACATTCTGTTTTGATAAGAATTAAGAAATAATTGTTTTGTAGTAGGAAGGGATAGTTAAATGCTTAATGTAAGACTGGTACAGACCTCTAACTAATGAATTATTTTTAATTCTCATTGATTCATTACCACCTTACCCACTCCCTTTATCCCCTCCCTTCTTCCTTCCATGTTTTTTTTTTTTTTTTTATCATGTAGCCTGGGCTGGCCTTGAACTTGCTATGTCCCTAGGACTAGACTTGAGCTTCTAAACTTCTGGACACTATTCCATAGTGTTGGGATTACCAGTGTTTTCCTACCATGACTGGCCAATCATAGATATTTTAAAAACATAAAGCAGCATGTTTTACTGTTAGGTAGCTAATGGCAGGCTTTAGTAAATGCCTCTATTTCTATTTACCCAAGAATTTATTTTTTGAGTATTAGGGTAAAGTAAGAAATAATAGGCCGGGCGGTGGTGGCACACACCTTTAATCCCAGCACTCAGGAGGCAGAGCCAGGCGGATTTCTGTGAGTTCGAGGCCAACCTCGGCTACCAAGTGAGTTCCAGGAAAAGCCACAAAGCTACACAGAGAAACCCTGTCTCGAAAAACCAAAAAAGAAAAGGAAAAAAAAAAAAAAAGAAATAATAGACTTAAATATCATTGAATGGCGGGGTGGTGGTGGCTCATGCCTTTAATCCCAGCACTCAGGAGGCAGAACCAGGTGATCTCTGTGAGTTTGATGCCAGCCTGGTCTAAAGAGTGAGATTCAGGACAGGCACCAAAACTACACAGAGAAACCCTATCTCGAAAAACCAAAAAAACAAACAAACAAATATCATTGAATGTAGAAGACAAAATGGAAGATTAATAATTTTTTTGATCTTCAGTCTTTTTTTAATTTTTAAATTATTTTGTTTTGGTTTTTCTAGATGGGTTCTCTGTTGCCTTAACTATCCTGGAACTAGCTCTGTAGGCCAGTGTGGCTTTGACCTCACAGAGCTCCACCTGCCACTGCCTTCCAGGTGCTGGGATTAAAGATGTGCACCACTGCCACTGCCCTGCTGATCTTTAGTCTTCTATATTCCATATGTGCTAATTTGTAGTGAGTGGAATGTTAATCAAATTCTCTGGTTATATTTTTCTTTTAGAGGATATTTGGAGAAGCTGCTGAAAAAAATTTGTATCTCTCTCAGTTGATTATATTGGATACACTGGAAAAATGCCTTGCAGGGGTAAGTAAATTCATTCTAAAGTAAGCAGGTTCTGTGAAGTCAATCTTGAGAATAATCTGAGTACCAAAAGGTCAGTATGGACACTGAGGACACACGAAGAGTCTTTGTCTAAGATAGATGGATATAAATTTTGTTAATACAGTTGACCTGGTGGTGCAGAATTTAGAAAAAATTATCACTTTTTGTAAATTACATAGATATTTAAGTTTACTTAAGCTGTTGTTTGAGCCCCATTTTTGTTTCTAAGATTTTTTTTTTTTTAAGAAAAGATTTTTATGAAGAAATCACTATTTGGTTTAATTAATTTCTCACATCTTATTAGCCTTGTGGCATTGTGCAGCTGGAAGAATGTGATTCCAAAGAGCAAGGGCAATCATATTTTCCCTCCTTTATGAGTATGGTTTCCACTTTACCCAGATCTTGACAATGGAATCTGTCCTTCTGAGGATAGCTGCTACAGAACACTTGTGTACATTTGAGCATTTGTAGCAGGTATATAGAGGAGACACTTAGTACCATACAGTTCTTTCCCAGGTTCCCTCTAAGAGGCTGACTATTTATTTCAATTATGACTTTATTTGAACTTTTTTCAAGACATTTTCTGCTGTAGAAAGTGTTTATATTACTCACTAACCTTAATTCTTTCCCAAACATGGGTAGAAAACACGGGTAGATGTTTATGTAAATACATAAATGAAGATTTCTGCTTTAAAATTGTCTATGCCCTATATGTTAGTTAATGCATTTTATTTGGCATAGGATACATAATTTTGCTTTTTTCAGTTTGTTTTGTTTCGTTTTGTTTTTTTGAGACATGGTTTCTTTGTGCCACCACCGCTGAGCCAGAATTTTGCTTTTATTCAGCATAGCTTCTCTTTATTTATATGTTAGCATTCTCTACAGTAAATCTAGGGGAAAGAGATTTAAAGCAAGTGTTTGTAGATACTTTATGTGAATGAGTGCTTTGCCTGCTTGTGTATATGTGCACCATGTGTGGGACTGGTGCCTGCAGAGCAGAAGAGGGGTCAGCTCTCCCTGGCTGGAGTTACTGGTGGTTGTGAACTGCCATGAATGCCGAGAGTCGAGTTCAGATCCTCTGCAAGAGCAGTAAGTGCTCCTCACCACTGAGCCATCTCTCTAGCCTCAAGAAAGAAGAGATTTTTATATGAGGACTGATTGTGTTGTTGAGAAGAGAAAGAATGTTAGAAGTGGCAAGGATTAGGCAAGGAATTAGAAAAAAAAAAACACCAAAAAGTTCACATTCATAAATAAACCTTTTCTCCAGGTAGGCTGTGGGCCAGAAAGAAAGAAAAAAAAAATCTAAGCATAGTATTTATTAAAATTTTTAAGATAATTCATTTTTTTATTTTTTAATTATGCATATGTGTATGTTTGCAGATGGGTCTATGCACATGAGTGTAGGTGCACTCAGAGATCAGAGACTCCAGATCTCCATGGAGCTGGAGTTACAGGTGGTTGTGGCCCATCCAGCATGGGTGCTGGGAACTGATCTCAGGACCTTTGCAAGGACAGTGCATGCTCCCAACCACTAGGACAAATCTCTAGCTTCCAAAGTATTTTTTTACTTATGTATTATTGTGTGTGTGTGTTGGGGGCATGCATTCCATGGTGTGCCTGTGTAGATCAGTCGGTTCTCTCTTGCTTTTACATGAGTTTTAGGGATTGAACTTGGGTTACCAGGTTCGTGGAGCCATCCTGCCAGCTCAGCAGATATCAAAACCTGAAAAATTTTAGATGTATTTATTTTATGTATATGAGTGTTTCATCTGCATGTGTGTAAGTATATGTACCATGTGCATGCCTAGTGCCTGAGGAGGTCAAAAGAGGGTATCAGATCCCCTGTGACTAGAATTCCAGATGGTTGTGGGCCACCATATGGGTGCTGACAACTGAACTCAGATCCTCTGCAAGAACAAGTGCTCCTAACCACTGAGCCATCTCCAGCCCCCAATATTTTAAACACTTACTGCCCTCTGGCCATATTCCAAAATTGTTGGGCAGTATTTGTAAGTTTTACACTTAAAATGATGGGAACTGTTTTAGCTTGGTGTCCCCTGTTAACTTGTAAAATGGAGTAGAAGAACAGAAACATTATTATATAGTAGGGTGGAATTGGAGGCTGGACATTTTTAACTTGGCAGAGGTCTTAGTACTTTGTAATTTCTCATATATCAGGCACACCCATGATTGAGTTGGGTAGGATGGTGTATTGCCTCTTTAAGTTCCCACAACTTTTTCTTCATTAACGTTTTTGATTGAGAGGTAATGTATCTTGGAGAGTGATTGCTCATACTCTTTGGAGATAACCTAATTCAAATGATGTTGACTTTCCATGGTATACCTTGTATAATGTTATAAAATACATACTAGTTTGACTTGGTCTGCTCTTGAAATGACTTCTGGTTTCTGGTTTCTTTTCTTGCTTGTGAGTTAAGAGATTATATTCAGGGCCTTGTACATATACCACTGAACCATATCCCTAGAACTGTTTCTGGTTAGTAAGTTAGGCCACCTAGGAAATAATCAAATAATCTGTAAGACAATTGGCACAGTTTTCAAAGTTAATTTCATGGAATGTAAAAATTATATATATATATATATATATATATATATATATATAGTGTATGGGGGAAATTACGCTAGAATAAAAAACTGAAAAAACAGAATAGTCATGTTGTAATCTGTGAATTATTTTTGGATCCTCATTGAATAAAAAACCATGGAAGACATTTTCAATGTCATATAATATAGGTTGGGTATTAGATGATACATGGAATGGTATTATTTTTTGTATGTAATTAATGTTGAAGTTACATAGGAGAATATCTTCATTAAGATAAGCTGATATACATAAGGGCTGAAATATTATATTTATAACTTACTTTGAAGTGATTTAACTCAGTATTATTTATAGGGTATAATATGTGTTTTGTAAGATTGTACAAAGGCAGTGGGATCCCTACCTAAGAATTTCTCTGGATGATAAAGACAAATGATACAATGTATTTACTAGTGAGTAAGAATATAGTCCATTGAGAACTCACAGAGAACTGCAGGTTTACCAAAAGTGGAGGGTCAACTGATAAACAGGAAGTGACCAGATGTAGGGAGGAGCCTGTGAGGCGGGATAGAGGATTAGGCTTCACTTGCAATGACAGGGTGGAGATGTCTTCTTTATTGACCATAGATAGGTGAATGTGGCATATTTGAGGAAATGATAACAGTTGTTAAATTCAAGTGATGACTGTGTGGGTGTTCCTTCTATTTCAGCTTCTCTGTATGCTTTAATAACAAGGAATGTTTGCAGGTACAGTTAAAGTTTTAGAATTATGCGATTATTTCCATTTTAGCAACCAAAGGACACAATGAGATTAGATGAAACAATGCTGGTCAAGCAGTTACTACCAGAAATCTGCCATTTTCTTCACACCTGTCGTGAAGGAAACCAACATGCGGCCGAACTTCGGAATTCTGCTTCTGGGGTTTTGTTTTCTCTCAGCTGCAACAACTTCAATGCAGTCTTTAGTCGCATTTCTACAAGGTTAGTGTATAAATCATGTGGGGTTATTAAGTAAAAAACTTGTAGAGTTCTTGTTTGCATAAAGAGTAGTTAATAGGTCGGGCAGTGGTGGTGCACACCTTTAATCCCAGCACTCAGGAGGCAGAGCCAGGCGGATCTCTGTGAGTTTGAGGCCAGCCTGGGCTACAGACTTCATTCCAGGAAAGGCACAAAGCTACACAGAGAAACCCTGTCTTGAAAAAACAAAAACAAACAAACAAAATCTAGACAATATAGAAATAGAAGGAAGTAATTGCAAAGTAGAATTCTCTGGAAAGTGGACTGTGTTTTAAGTGTGTATGAAACAGTCCCATTTATTGAGTATTCACTAGTATTCACAAGTATGCTATCTTGCTTTTATTCTCATAATGACTGATGTTGAAAGATAGTTACAGGCAAACAAATTAATACCACTCAAAAGTTAAGGTATTGTGCGGGTGTGGTGGCTCACAACTTTAAAATCTTCGTGCTTGGGAGGCAGAGGCAAGAGGATCTCAATGAGTTCAAGGCTAGCCTTTACATAGTAAGTTCAAAGCCAGCCAGGGCTACACAGAGAGACCGTGTCTCAAAAAACAAAATAAAAAACTCCTACTTATAAACAAAAAAGTTAAGGAATTGTGTCAAATAATGGAAGACCCCAAATTTCTAAGCCAGGTGGGCCTCAGGATCTCTATTAGTTTCAGTATATCAGTTATTTCCAGTGCTTTAAAAAATGTAAGGGTAAAAGAGAAGGCTTAGTGGTTAAGAACATGTGATACTCTTGCAGAGAACCTGAGTTGGGTTCCCAGTACCTGCATGGTTGACTCACAGCTGTCCAGTTACAGATAGTTCAACACCCTCTTCTAACACTAGGCACACATGTGGTGCACATACATACATGCAGATACCCATATACATAAAATAAAAACAAACTTTTAAAAATGTGATTTAATTAAAAAAAAAAAGAAAGAAAAACAGGTTGGAGAATTCACTTGGTGTAGCTAAAGGTGCTTGCTGAAAAGTCTCTTGGACGTGGGTTCTGTTCTTGGAACCCTTGTAAAAACGGGAAAGAACGAACACCACACTGCAGTTATCTGACCTTCACACACATACTGTGGTACACATGCATTTTCCTTTATTTACACACACAATGAATTTAAAAATGAATTGTAGAAAAAATGAAATAAAAATTACAGTTTAAATCTTTACTGATAAGTCAAAATCGTAATCATGATATTATAGATGGGGAAATTAGTCTAGCTTGGTGTTCAGTGGGATGATATTATAAAGTAACTGTAACTTGCTTTCATGAAAATGGTTTGCCCTTCCTTCCTTCCTTCCTTCTTTCCTTCCTTCCTTCCTTCCTTCCTTCCTTCCTTCCTTCCTTCCTTCCTTCCTTCCTTCCTTCCTTCCTTCCTTCCTTATTTATTTATTTATTTATTTATTTATTTATTTATTTATTTATTTATTTATTTATTTATTTATTTATTTATTTATTATGTATACAGCATGTATGACTGCAGGCCAGAAGAGGGCACCAGATCTCATTACAGATGGTTGTGAGCCACCATGTGGTTGCTGGGAACTGAACTCAGGACCTCTGGAAGAGCAGTCCGTGCTCTTAACCTCTGAACCATCTCTCCAGCCCAGTTTGCCTTTCTTATACAAGTACTGCCACATGGGTTCTTAATTATGATCAAATACAAGGTATAACAGCCTGCTCAGATTTAGTGACTACAGGACAAATACAAACAGAGAAAATAATCCTTTTGTCGGCTTGGTTCGTCCATCTTTGACTTGTTAGTGTTGTACCAACCAGGGCTTCAATTGTGCTCACTCTTGTTCCTAGCAAGGTGAATGAGAATATGCATCAAACTCTGAGAATGTTTGGTTTAGTGTGGAAGAACAGATTGGCAATCTTTTTAATCAAAAAGATTGTTCTATAATTATGATGGTCGGTAACAATATTCTATGATATCCTGCAACCTTAACAGACTATTAAAAGAAAATTAAAACTTTATTTAATGATATATTATTGGTTAATGTTTATGTGACAAAACAACATTTCCATGGCGTTTTTTTTTTTTTTTTTTTTTTTTTTTGACTAAGTACATTTTTATATTGAGTCACTATATGCTGATGGAGTGAGCAAGGTGACGAACAGGGAAATAGGATGCTAGAAAGTTACAGACAATAAGAACCCTTTCAATTAGGCTACTACTAGATTAGTTTTACTATCTGAAAAAGTAGCTTAAATTGAATATAGAAAACATTCAAGAAAAATACAGTTTCTTAGTCTATCCATGCAGAGATTGTTAACATTTATGTGACAGAACATTTCCATGGAGTTTTTAAGTAAGTATATTGTTCTATAAAATGGAGCAAATGTGCCATCTTTGAAAACCCTAAGGTCACCCAAGGCTTCTTCCATGGGATTGGGCAGCATTAGTCTTGTATAGACAACTTTCGTTGATTTTTTTTTTCCCAAGTGTAGTTCACTGTTGATTGCCAGAATAGAAATTCTGGCTAGAGTTTCATTGGTTTTGGGGACACATTAGTCAGAAATGGGATCTATGAAATAAATATGTTTCATACAGCTATTATATATGTGTTTTCATTTAGTTAGCACCAGAAATAGGAGCTGGTCTTCTTAGAGGACAACTCAACTAACAGAGTACTGTGATGGTTTAATTTAGATGGGGGCATCTTAGGATGTTGTAGCTAGGTGACCAAACTATGCAAGTGACTTGAATAGCAGTTCTGAAGGTTGAGCTTTATATTTATTTATAGTGAACGTAAGTTGAACTTCACCAGTGTCCATGTCCACAGTGTTCTTCTCTGTGTGGGGATGACTGCAGTGGAGGTTGAGCCCAGGCTTTAGATGCTCCACCACTGAGCTACAGCTACAGTGGTTTTCTTATTTTGAGAAAGGCCTCACCAATTCCGGCTGGCCTAGAATTCGCACTGTAACTCAGGCTACCCTTGAACTTGATATTGTCCTCCCTCAGCTTTTTCTGTAGTTGTGATGACAGGCTTGTACCACCAAACACAGCTTGTTTGGTTTTTTGTTTGTTTTATTCAATGAAAAATTATAGCAAAGCTTTATTTATCTTAAGGGTCTTGTGTTCTAGGCTTATTATGCTCTTTAAAAAAGATTTATTTTTATTTTGTTTTATGTGTATATGTATGTATGTATGTCATTGTGTGTCAATGCTTGTGGAAGCCAGAAGATGGTATTGGGTCCCCTGAAGCTGGGTTTACAGGTGGTTGTGAGGTGCCATGTGGAGGCTCGGAACTGGACTTGAGTCCTTTGGAAGAGCAGCAAGTGTTCTTAACCACGGAGCATCTCTTCAGCTCTCATTGTACTTTCTTATGTAGAAGATTGGTTACTTCACAGGATCTCTTTATAATTGACCATTCATAATATTTAATTTTTTTTCTTTTTGACAGGTTTCCTATGTAGCTCAATCAGTTGTTGGATATAGATGTTCTCCTGACTATTCAACATTTCCCATAAAACTTTTACTTAGCTGATAATCCTTGGATGTATTATTAATTGCAAATGATAACTGCAAATAATAAACTTTCTATTTTGGGGGTGGGGTGGGGACTTTTTTTTAAGCAGGGTCTCACTATGTAGCCTTGGCTGGTCTGACACTTACTATGTAGACCTTGCTGGCCTGTCACTCATAAAGATCACTTGTTTCTGCCTCTAGAATGTTGAGATTAAAGGAGTGTGCTGCCACATCTGTCTTGGCGCTATCATTCTTTATTTTTAAATTGGACTTATGTATTTATTTATTGGTTCTGTGATTGGGAGAATTAAACTCAGGGCTCTTCACATTAAATTATGCTTTCTCTTTATTTTCTCTTCCCTCTTTCCCTTCTGATCCTTCCTTCCTTTCTTCCCTCCCTCCCCCCTCCACTCCTTCCTTCCTTTCTCCCTCCCTCCCTCCTTCCTCCCCTCCCTCCCTGCTGTCCTCCCTCCCTCCCTCCTGCCCTCCTTCCCTCCCTTCCTCCCCTCCTTCCTTCCCTCCCTCCCTCACTCATTCCCTTCCTTCCTAGATAAGGTTTTACTGTGTAGCCCAAACTCACAGTCATATTCATGTTTTTGTTTCCTGAGTCCTTGGGATGATGGGCATGAGCTGAACTTGTGATTCCTGTAAAATATGTTTTCCTATATTATTTACACTATTGTTTTATAATATGATCTACATAGGAAATAGGAAATGCAGAATAGAGGCTTGTTCCACCACTATTACTTTTTAGAATGAAGTGATTCTAAAACTTGCAAAAGAATACCTGTGAGTTTCTTCTCTAAGGAGTTACAGCCTTTTTTTTTTTTTTTTGACTGTGTGTGTTTCAGTTGTAGGAAAAAATTTGGGTAGGGGGTTGGTAAGATGGTTAAGCAGGTAAAGGTGAATGCTGCTAGCCTGACGACCTGAGTTCAATTCCTGGAACCTATATGGTGGAAGGAGAGAACCAGTTCCTACAGTTTGTTTTCTGATTGCTAATGCAAGCATACACACACAGTAAATAATGTAATTAAAAAAAAAAGACAATTGGAGATCCCAGTCATACAGTTGTATGACTTTTGATGTGACTACAGTATTTGCTAATTTCCTTGTCTTCAATTTCAGGGAGACCTAGACACATTTGAAAATGGGCTCCAATCTTAGAATTAACTAATTTTTCGAAAAGAGCTGTAGCTAATGTGAGAAATACAATTCAAACCTCAGTCTTAAATATATGGATGCAAAGTTTACTGGCATATTATTTTTCATCATATTCCTTAAATTGCTTGTATTGTTTAGTTTTTTAATAAGTATGTTCTTATTTAATATATCTCCATTCATAAACCCATCTTCTGTTGAATCAGAACCTTGGACTGTTCTAAGACTTAAATTAGTAAATTATTTTTGATTTTTACTTTTCAGGTTACAGGAGTTGACTGTTTGTTCAGAAGACAATGTTGATGTCCATGATATAGAATTGTTACAGTATATTAATGTGGATTGTGCAAAATTAAAACGACTCCTGAAGGGTAGGTTTAAATGTATATCTGCAGTTAACATAATTAATCACAGTATTATGAATATAATAATTCTGCTTGAACTGGATATCAAAATAGATTGTATAGTGTTCCTGTGAAATGGCCAGTAATGCACATGGCTGACTGATTTTTGGACATTTGAAAATAGTGTAATAGAGAACATGAATTTTATCACAGAAAGTTTTCTTGAGCTACAGTTTTTGCTTTTAATAAAGAAGTTTATGTCTTTTGGAATTTGATCCCTTAAGGTGACTCTAAGTCATAGAAGTTACCAATTTAGCTTTCCTGGTGCTTAAGAACATAGTCTTGAGCTGGTGAAGTGCATGCTTATAATCCCAGCACTTGGGCAGCTGAAGGAAAGTTCAAGACCAGCCTAAACTATGTAGAGTTCAAGTGCATGATGGGCTATAGAGTGAGACCCAATTTCTAGAAACAAAACAAACAAACAACCTCCCCAACAAAGATATTAAAATATCAAACAGTGGTTTTAATTTCCAAGAGTCTCCTAAGAGACTGAGCTTGAGTTATGTAGGGCTTAAGAATTTTGATAGTTGTGTAACAGTTTTCAAAATGCTTAATATTAAAAAAAAATTAGTATTAAGCTAGGTGTAGTTACGCCCAGTTTTAATCCCAGCAGTTGTGAGTCAGAGGCAGGCGGATCTCTGTGAGTTTGAGACCAGCTTGGTCTACAGAGTGAGTTACAGCCAAGGCTTCATAATGAGACTGTTTTGAAACAAACCAACAAACACCCCACCCCCACCCCCTGACAAAAACAAACAAACAGAAAAAACTATTATTTTATACATGTGTGAGGACTTGTATGCTATAGAGCTGTTGTGTAGGTCAGAGGTCAACTTTGTGGAGTTGGTTCTCTCTTTCTACCGTGGGTTCAGTGAATTGAACACTAGCAGGCTTGTGTGGCAATGCTTTTATACTGAGCAATCTTGCCAGTCCTTCTTTGTTTTCTTAACATTTGCCTTTTTAGAGTATATCTGTATAGGGACAGTAATGTAAACTTCTGTCAGTAGTCTTTGTTCAGATTTGTTATTTGCTTTTCTTTTCTTGCAGGACCTATACTTAAAATTGTGTGCATACAAGAGTGTGTGCCTAGAAAGGGTATTCTGAGGGAAGGATGACATTTTAAGGGAAATGGGAAATGGAATTACTGACTACATGTAGTAAGGAGGGTGAAGAGAGGACTCACTGGGGGAGAAGAAACCAGCTCGAGAAGTAGGAGAATAGTGAATGAGAACACATAGGTATGAAGATGACACATTGAAATTCATTACTTGTATGCTAACTATAAAGATTAATATTATAAAAGAATTTATGGGGCCGGAGAAATGCCTAAAACAAACAAACAAACAAACAACAAAGAAGTGGTTATGATGCCTTGGGATGCGGTTCAGTAGAATGTTTATATAGCATGAACAAAGCTGTGGGTTTGACCCCTAACATGATCAAAAAAGCGATTTCAGATATTATTATTGAAAAATCAAGTAGTTTTTTAGTTTTACTCACACAGGCCTTACCTTCTCAGTTAAACTTGTTTGGAAACTCACTCACAGACATGCCCGGACCTAAATTTAGTCAGATTGACAATGAAGATTAGCCATCATAGTGACATTTTGGAAATAAATCTAGTCCAAGTTACCCATGAATAGGGTTTGGTTAAAACAGTAGTTTCCTTAGTGATGCTTAATCCATGATAAAGTAATTGAGATGGTTCTCCAAGTCCAAATAAGAGTAGAGAAGAATATTTAATTTACATTGAGGCAACTTTTCCCAGTTTCAAAGAAAGATGTCATTTTTATTATTTTATTTATGTATATATGTTTGTATGTGTGCTTGTGGACTACAGAAGTGGGTATTGGTCCCCTGGAGCTAGAGTTACAGGCTGTTGTGAGCTGCCACATGTAGGTTCTGGGAAGCAAACTCAGGATCATACAAGATCAACTTGTTTCCTAACCACTGCGCCATCTCTCTAGCCCCATAGTTCTCCTGTTGAATCTAAGCATAGATTTAGAATATATGCAGATTGGTGTATAAATTATGAAGCCAATGTTAACTAGGCCATTGAAAGTTAACTCTGGGTGCTGGACAGTTGGCTCAACAGTTAACATTTATTGCTCTCATAGAGGATGTTGGTTTGGTTCCCAACACCCACATGGTGACTCTTAGCAGTCATGGATTCCACCAGGCGTGTTTGTGATGCACTTTCATGCATAAATAGTAAATAAAAAAGTTATCTCTAGGTGAGTATAACAAAAGAAATGGAAATTTTCTGTGGTTAATAATTACAGTAATAGCGTGTTTTAAATTCACTTCAAGAATTTTTTGAGAAACTACATGTAATAAACCATATTAATTTTTTGAAATTGAGAGGTTAATAAAATTTTGAACATGTCCTCAAGAAGCTTATGCTTTGATCGTCATGTTTTCTCTGGAAACCAATCTGCAGTGTGGATTAGCAGAGGATTATATGACATGAGCTTCTGTCATGGTAATGAGGGCATGTGGGTGTGGTAGAGGTCTCCATAGAATGAGCAACATGGGAGTTAATGTGATAGGTATTTTGGAGGTATAATCATAACTTTTGGTTAGGATATGTAGCATTTTGCAATAAATTTAAATCCATGAAATTATATATAGGAATCACAAAATATTACAGAGCATTTAGTTAAAGCAGAAAAGAGAAAGGATTGATGACAGAGAACAGAATGGCCAGCCAAATGATAAATGGAGCTTTAGATCTGCTTAGTCACAAGTCTCAGTAATAGATCCAATAAAGAATTAAAGCACATGGCTGCAGAAGCAGCTCGGTTGGTAGAGTGCCTGCTCTGCCTAAAGCCTGGTTCAATCCCCAGCACCATGTAAACTGTGCTTGGTAGTGCATGTCTGCAGCCCCAGCACTTCAGGGGTAGAAGCAAGAGGATTAGAAGTTCAAAGTCATCCTCATATCCTCAGCTATATAATGAACTAACTAGACTGAGATACATGGGACTCTGTCTCAAACAAAACAAAACAAAACAAACCCCCGAAAAACCCATCATAGAACAGAAGTAATTAAGTATACGCACATTGGGATTGAGACTAAATTATTGTACACATTTATGAGTAAAGCTGATGAATGAAAGAAGATAAAAGGACTAAAGAGAGAAGTAATGCCATTGATTTCATGTCAAAGACTAGGAGTAAAGAAAAAACTGATTTGGGGACCAAGTTTTTTCCTCATTTGTATTTATATTTGTATTTCTCCACCCTTGTTTGTATTTCCAGAAAAAGAAATTGACACTTAAAAGATCAGTACTAGAGGACTCATCTTTATTTTAGAAACATTCTGTGTAAATGTAGTAAAACCTAGTATCCCTTCTTTTTTTTTTTTTTTTTTTTAAAGATTTATTTATTTATTATGTATACAGGATGTATGACTGCAGGCCAGAAGAGGGCACCAGATCTCATTACAGATGGTTGTGAGCCACCATGTGGTTGCTGGGAGTTGAACTTAGGACCTCTGGAAGAGCAGTCAGTGCTCTTAACCTCTGAGCCATCTCTCCAGCCCCCCTAGTATCCCTTCTTTAAAAGTCCTTGGGAGAAATTTTGTTTTGTTTTGCTAAGGTACTATTAGGTTAGAGTGGTTTGTAGAAGGGTCATTTTTTTCCAAATAAAAATTTCTTTTTAGATGTGGATAATAAATTTATGAAAGATGACTTAAAATGTATCCATGGTATTTATATGGAGATAAAATTAATCTTGTATTGAAAATGCAGTCTTGAGAATGCCTAGTGCCTGAGTCTGAGGACACTGTCATTCAAGGATAATGTAGAGTGGCAACTTGGGCTACCACTGAGGTGACCAGTTGTGACCTTCACTTGCCTGAAACATCTCAAGTACTTTAAACTCTTGGTGTATATGAGAGGGGGAGGGGCACTTTGGAAATCAAGAAAGTGAAAGGAGAGCTGAAAAGAGAGAGGAACCACATAGAAGAGAGACCACAGCTTCAGCTGTGCAGCTCCCTAGCAGAGGGAGGGGAATAAAAGGGGCTTCCATGAGTGCATTGTTTTCTCTGTCCAGTGCTGCTGTGGACTGAGCCTTCCAGAGTAGGCTGCTCTGGAAGAAGAACCTCTCCCGATAAAACAGAACACAGAAATGCAAGAAACCTGAAAAAGTAAGGCACTATGACTCACTCCTCCAAAAGGTTGTATATCCTCAACCATTGGATATTCTTTCTCAGCCATTGTATTCAGAGATACTAACATGGGAAAATACCACATGATGAGTTTAAGTTTCCTGGTAAAAATGATCAGTGAGTGACATGAAAGAGAGAACAAATAAGCAGATGAGTTTAATTCAGGATCTGGAGAGGAAAGTCAGAAACAAAAGAGCCAGCAGAATGGATAAGAAAGTCACCACTGTAAATGAAAAAGTAACACAGAAGAAAAATAAAGCAAAGAATTGAGATTAAAACAAACCAAAGACATGCTGGAAAATGAAACAATGAAACATTAAAAAAAAAAAACCACATTGAATGACATCACAGGTACAGCTAGTTAAGCATAAGAAAGAATAGCAAGGATGGACAGCAAGGTTGATTAAATACTGCACTGAAACATCAGTACAGGGGGAAAATGTGCATGAACACAGTGTCAAGGGCTCTAGGATCTGATGAAGAGACCAAATCTGTGACTCTCTGGGATAGAAGGAGCTGAGGGAAACAATTAAAGGTGCGAAGAATGTGTTGAATAAATTTGAAACAGAAAATTTCCTAAATAAACACGACCACAGTATCTCTCCATGATGTATTATCAAGATGTGAAAAATACAAAGTAAAGAACCAATATTAGAAGCTCTAAGGGGAAAATGCTATTTCACCTACAGAGGTAACGTTAGATAAGCATCCTCAAGTCAGAAAAGCATGGAATGATATGGTGCAAGTCCTGAAAGTGAATATCTACCAACCAACATTACTATTTCTAGCAAAGTTATCCTTT